AAGGGATGAACCGATACTTACCCCCACTTCCTCCCCATCATCCCCTTCGACACCCCCCCATGTATAATGTCTACTTCCCCATTCCCACACGACGTTGAGTGCCACGTGTCCACCGATCGGTACGAATCAGCAGTTTTCGCGAAGTTCACGCCATTGACGATGACGTCAACTTACACTCTGATTCGATCGACTGCGCTGGACTGGGGGTGCAGAGCACACGGAGATCTGATGGACCATGTTGGTGCCACCTGGACGATCTCCGAAGTTCGAAGGACAGGGGGTTGCATATGACAGGGCTGCAGAGAGGGGGATCCGAAACCGCACGAGCCGGCACGATCCGTGAAGATCTTGCCATGGATGTTGTCGCCAGCCCATCATGCTGATCCAAACTCCTACTTCGTCCTGCTTCTTCGTTCCTTGTACTTCTTTCTGCTTCGTCGTCCCCTCATATTTCCTTTGTTCGAGCTTTCATGCAATCAGGAGATCGCATAATTTTGGAACCCTCTGCGCGTCACATATGTGACGAACCATCTCCCGACCCCGTGCTATCTTTCGTACCCCCTTGACCCAATACCCCTTTGTGTATCATACCGACCCCACAGAACCCTCATCGCTTTTCTTGATTCCAGGCGCCTTGTTTGGGCCTCCATTTTTCAGAAGTTCTGTTGATTCTTGGAATTCTGCTTTTTGTTATTCGGGAAATGCACGAGAAATTTCGCGCGTCTTAGCGAGCGCACTGGGAATCGGGCTCGACAGTTAGGAATTACGGAATAAGTGGAGCCCGACGTATTTTTTTCCTTGCATGAATGTTCTCGGTCATATCAGAGAAAACTCTAGGAATTTTGTGAGAATACGGATAGGCATAGGACTTTCTTTTCCCGCGTCGGCTTCCGCGCGCGGATATGGTGATTTCAATTTTTGAATTGGTGTAGCATATAGGCAAGCTGTAACTGTTTCGGTGCCTTTTTCTCTTGTTGTCGGCACCGCGCATGCAAGCATCCTCCTCCTTATTTCCCTCGCCATCCTTCCCCCGCACTTTCTCCTCTCCCTTCCCCCTCTTCTCCTTCTCCTATCGCAACTGTTTTTCCCTCTCTGCTTTTTGCGCGCCTGCTTCCCTTTCTTGATCGTCTAAATCTTGGACCCGTCTCGCGCTGCTTTTCGCGCCTCGTCTCTTCTCGCTCATCAACCTTGGCTCACGAAGCCCGGTTGATCCTCCGATCACCCCAGCTCACCAATTAGACGCGTTGAGTAAAAGGATCTCCCTATTGCGCGACGAATCTGATTGGCCGACCATTGGGTTCTGAAGGATCAACATGGCTTCCCCTAGGCACCCTTCGCTGAACCTTCTCTCCTTACACCCTGATCTCCCCTCTAACTCTTCCCCCATCTATCTCCTTTCTCGCAACTATAAATTCCGCAAACACGCCCGCAAAGCTCTCTTACGTTTTCCACTCGCAAGCCAGCTTCTGGGAAGCAGTGGCTAGGTGATGCGTTTGGTGCGAGTTGGAAAGTCCTATCGGGCTGACTGTAGTCTGGTCGGCTGCGTGCTTGATCGCCATGACGGAGTGTGGGATCAGGGCGAGCTGAGTCGAGTCTGTGTCAGCAGGGTGACGATCGTAGTGGCGGACGTTAGCATGCGACGGTCGTGATCGTCGGTGCGGGTATGAGGATTTGTGAATGGAGTTGAGTGGATGATTGGCCTGGGGCCATATTGAAATTTTACGGCGAATACACCTTCATTGTGGATTATTTTTCTGGTGTGAGTTCATGGCTGTGAAGCCGAATGTTCTCTTGTCGAAATTCTGGTGTCTTCTGTCTCGGTTTTTCTCGTTCATCCCTCTCATCTCTCTTTCTCCCTCTCTGACTTGAATGACGATGTGTTGTGGGTTTGTCTCTCTCTTGTGAACTGAAGCGAACCCCCGAGAGTTTTCGCGAGGAAGAACTTCTTTCGGAACTCTTCCATTAGTTTCCTGGGTAATCCCCAGATGTAGAGGACTCAGTACTCTTGTCTTGTGAACGGTGGATGCGTGTGTACAGTTCCCTCGTTTGATGCTTGCCTTTCGCGTTGATTAGACTCAACGCTCAACGGGACTTTGTTCGAGAATGCAAAAGTGTTTAGATTTGTGGTTCTGAATGCACTGCGCATGTCCTGTCTCTTATACACATCTAGATGTGTATAAGAGACAGCGGTGGATGCGTGTGTACAGTTCCCTCGTTTGATGCTTGCCTTTCGCGTTGATTAGACTCAACGCTCAACGGGACTTTGTTCGAGAATGCAAAAGTGTTTAGATTTGTGGTTCTGAATGCACTGCGCATGTCATCTGCCTTATGCTGCACGACATCAACAGATAATCGGTGAGGCAGCCTCGAAAAAGCTAGGTGCCTCGTGTTTTTGTTGATCAGGTCCGCTGAAATGGGGTCGCGGGTTGATCCCTCGTAACTCCAACCCGATTAATGCATGATTGTGCAGATTCCGTAAGCTGCTTCTCTCGTGACCAAAGGTAGGAAGGTACTAATTAGTTCTTTTTTTTTTTTGTGCTTTTTTATGACGTCTCGAGAATTTGCGTAAACTCAGTCTGATTGATTGACATGTGGACTAACGATCATTCCTCGATCAGGCGCCAGCCTTCCGTATCTCCCTCGTCGACGCGCCCCTTCCCCTACAACGAGGAAAGGACACGTGTATGCGAGTGGGACGTACGGGAAGTTGTTGCACGCATTGGCGGACAATACTATTTTCCTCCTGAAAATCGCTGCTCCGGGTTTGTGGATGCGGGCTTTGTCATCATCGATACACACTTTCCACCCTACTCGGTATTGTTGCCATTTAACAAACTGATCGTCATTTCGTGGACAGCAGTGGCGCCCCATTGGCCCCGAACCCTGTGCACTGAGTGTCAGCGTTTCGATCGTTACGAATTGAAGGGCTTCCACTATCGGATACGGAGTGAAGCCGAGTACAAGGAAAGAGCCACGCGGCTGAGACCATCCACGTCGGACTCGGAACTGTCCCACGAGCGACGTCGATATTTAATACAGAAATGGGATACGCGGAGTGTGTCGAAGCCCTTCCGCTCTAAACGAAGATCCGTAGCGCGGTGGGAAGCTCGACAATACTTTTTGGATTGAATCTGGATTTTTCTCTTTTCGCGTCGTACTTGCGCGCGCGTTCCGCGACGCACGAAAGCAACCGACTTACTTCATCAGGCCAACACGGGGGATTTCAGTTATGTCTGTGTCCCCACACTCAATTTTCCAAAAATTCTTGGCACACCCCATCTTGCTGTTTTTCTGGGCCCTCATTCCGCACCTTTAGCACTCCGAACGAAAGACAGCACAGGGCGTGAGGTTGCGCGTCATATGTAGCCGATGGTGTCACCAAAAGCATCTGAAGCCAGACTAAGCTAGCCTGTTTCTGGGATACCATCCCTTTTAGTCATGTCCATAGCCCAAAGAGATCCAGGTTTCCCACAACGAAACCTGGCACCTTGGCGAGCGGGTCTGCAGCAGTCCCTAACGGTTGCTTCTTGACAGTAGCCCTTAGGACTTGAACACCTATCTTAGGTTTGTAGTTGATGACCGGAGTGGAACCATCCGGTCCTACCACCCCTCTTCCATCCATAGAGCAGAGGTTCAATATGCAAATTAGATGCATCCTCTGAAACCAAGGAGGCCTCTTCATTACCCTTTTTAGTCGAGGAAGCAAGCCATACCCTGCACTTCTGAAAACCAACAGAGGTGGGAATGGTTCTGTCTTCTAATCTCGTCAACGGCGTGGGAGACCTCTGCCCAGGTTTACGAATCCAGACTTGCGTTTTTATTCCCTGTGGTAAGCCCGGCCCCAGGATTCTCAAGATCTCTTGCCTATTGTCGGGGTCTACTATCCAAGCCCCGTGGCCGTGCTCCGCTGACTCTGGTAGTAACGCCTTCCAGTAGGCCGGAATGCAGGAGCATACTGTGAGGTAATTTTCTTCTACGTTATGAATCCAATAGGTCGGAAGATCCATTTACGTGGCACACATGATGCCTTATGTATTCATGATGCGCGGTACGACCATCTACACAGACCCCACACGATGAGCTCTGCATTATTGGCAAGTAAACAGGGAGGAAAAAAATAAAGAATAAAAAAATATAATTAATCAAACACACCCCATCGTGGGAGTGAACCCCCTTCTCGCCATGCACCCCCATTCAACTCTCATGTGGATGGGCCATATCCATCCCTGCAGCATGCTGTCGACGACCAACACCTCCCCTGTGCTGCCCGCCTGTTCTTCCCTCCAGCCTCCGAGTCCATCAGATGGCTGTGCAGCCTCCCCATTCTACGGTGCAGCTGGCGGCCAGTGGCCCTGGACTGTCTTGCTCGTAGACGTGACGTAGGCCATCAGATTAAAAAAAAAAAAAAAACGTTGTCCTCCTCGCAGACATGGCTATGTGGATGGGTTCTTCGCTCCCTGTACTGTATATATTGCACATTGCAGTTCATATACATCACCATTTCCATGAGCTCCGACACGGTGACCCTAAACGATGGGTGACGAGGATGGAACAACAGGAGTGCGCTTCCTGCTGTCCCTCCTCGTCAGCAATCTCGTGCATCTATCACGAGTACAAGGGAATGCGGATGTTTAATTACCACAATAGTTGTGGGAATGCACATTCGAACCATTTCCAAAATCAAGATAGAAAAAACTTAAGGGGAAAAAAAAAAAAAAACAGCAACCCATGGGAGTCAGAAACAAACAAAAAAAGAAAAAACAGCCATCCATCGCTAATTTTCAGCAAATAGAAACGTTCACACGTGCGTTTCGCGACATCCAATTCTTCACGGCAGCATGGCCATGGCGCCTTTGCAAGCAGCCATTTGCAGGAGTGGGTCGGCACCCACTGGGGGTGGTTTTGTCCCCTGGTGCATGGGGTGTGTTCGTGTTCCTTTTCCCTGTGAGTGGTTGCACCCGGACGGGATTGTGGACACCATTCTTTACGAATTGCGTCCGGGACCATATAAATACACACTGAGCTGTGGGGACTGAGCTGTGGGGAGTTGAGCACGGAACACAAACAGCACCGCGTGCTGCCGGAATCGAAAGCGCTGCGACCCATAGGCCAAGCACATACTCATGAGTGGAATTCGAGCCCTCACCCACCAGGACAAAAGTAGACCAGCGGGTGCGGTTCGTGCCCTGGGTGCGTGATTTTGGACTGCCTAAGACCATTGTAAGTGACAGAGATGTCTGGTTCACGAGTGAGATGTGGAAGAAAGCCGCTTAACAGATGGACAGTCAACTCCAAATGACTTTGGGGAATCATCACGAAGCCAACGGTGAAGCGGATTAGATGAACAGCGTGGTGCAGCATCTGCTGAGGCATTACATCAAGCCCACCTAGGATGACTGAGATGAGAAACTTCCTCTCATTGCCAGCGTGTACAATAACGTTGTACATAGCACCACCGGTGTCAGTCCCAATCAGCAGCATTTGGGGTGGAAGCCTATATCTGCACTAGACTTCCTCCTTCCTGAAAACCGACCATCTGCAATACCTGGAACCATATAATTTGGTATCGAGTGTGAAAAACTATTGCAGCAGGCTGTCGAACACATCAGAAAATCTCAAAAGACGATGATTGTCCCTGAGAACAAACACAGACGACAGTCCACATTAAATTTTCAGGTAGGGGAACGTGTCTGGGTAGAGCCAAGTGAATTAGGACACGAATACAAAATCTTTAGGAAACTGATGCCACAATATTTTGGACCCTTGGAAGTTCTAGATATTGTGGGTAGTGGTTTGGATGGTCTCTCCTCTCTCCTACGTCATAAGAATCCCTGGTCATTTTCGCACTTACCCTGCATTTCACGCTTCCAAGTTGGCACCTTTCGCTGAGACAGATCAGTTCCCATCAAGGTCAATGCTGCCCCCAACCATGGATGGCCATGTGGACGTCGATGACATTCTGGAACATAGAGGCTTGTCTGTTCCCAGGCCTTTGGGCAGGGAAAGACCGCCGAAACCTATGAGGGAATACAGGGTCAGATTCAGGCATCATCCGGATTCAAAGGAAGATCGTTGGTTCACGAGAGAGGAGCTCGTCAGAACGGCACCTCAAATCATGGTTGAGTACGAACAAAGACTGAAGAGGAAAGCACCTGCGTAGATGCATCTCAGCGGACTTTCGAAGCTAAGGGCGCACGAGGAAACCGCCGCTCACTTTGCTGTCAGAATCACGAAAGCCGCAATTGACAAAAAAAAGTGGTATTGGTCCAACATTCGGGACGATGTTAAATTCATCGTCAAAAAATTGTCCGGTTTGCGCGGCGAACAAGGCGCCGATTCAGCAACCGAGGTCGATAGCACCTACTATAGTCGAGCGACCGTTCCAAAGGGTTAGCATGGACACAACAGATATTATCGTGCCCCCTGGACTGAATAGCTATGAATATTCAATTCTTTTGGTGTTCGTAGATCATTTCTCGAAATGGATCGAGGCCTACCCGTGTAAGACGCGACAAACGGCGGAGATGGTGCGGTATGTCAACCGTTTCCTCAGAATGCATCAGGATACCGAGGAAATTTTAACGAACAACGAGGCGGAATTCCGAGGAGAAGTCTTGAGGAGCCTAGTCATACATGGTGTCTCTATCCGTAATACGGCTCCCCATATGTCGCAATCGAATGGACTAGTAGAAAATGCGAACCGGGTGGTTAAGACTGCCTGGCGGCGAAATATCGCGGCACGTGACACGAGGCCTTGGCTCGATATCGTGGACCATATCTTAGCTATCCACCGGGGGACCCCTCATGAGTCCACTGGTCTGACCCCTTTTTAGTTATGGACCAATAGTCTGGCTTGTGTAGCCGTGCCAAACCTGAACGACGAAACGATCCTTGCGTGACGGCCCACGAGAGCGAAGGTCAAAGACCCAACGCCACCTAGAATTGATGGAAAGAGCCCTCCCCCGGTTAGCCTGAAATAGACAGTGGATAACCGAAATGGCCCATGGTCAGCAGGTCTGGAGCTACGAGGCCCGAAACAGGAATGCTGGACCCCGGCCCCAGTATAAATTAGGGGACATAGTGCAGGTGAGGAAATGTGTTCGCCAAGGCAAGTTAGCGCCACGATTCTTTGGGCGATTTAACGTAGTCGAGCTCGGTCCTAGCGAAGTGAACACGGTGTGGCTTGCACCAGAGGTCTCGCGAAGTCAATCGGCTCGACTGATCATCCGACACGTGTCCTAACTTCGTCCCTTACCTCCTTCTCCTTCTCCGCCATCATCCAAGTCATCCTTCGATTCTGCGGGGGAAGACGACGATCTCGAGCTCGAATACTCTGACTCCCCTTCCTCTCAACCTCCATCTCTAACTCCTCCCCCATTACCATGAGTTTTTCTACCAAGCAGGTCATCACTGAATGTCTAATGAGACCCGGGGGGCATATATCATCGATCCGACAAGTGCGGCAGCCACGATTAAGTCCGGATTTGCTTCGCTTTGCGGCTTTCTTCAACACAACGGCCATTCACGAGGCGGCGGAATTTTGGTTCGCACGCACCAGCAAGCGGACAAGAGTGTTGGCCGAGGCGTCGGCTTTTCTGCGGCTGTCCCCGCCTGGCAACAACCACGTGTCAGTGATCGTCGCTTTCACTGGCGATCTTACGGCTCTGCATCCGGTAGGTCATACGGGCGCCCTCCGACAACTGCAACTCTGGGCCCAGGACCTCACGGAGGCGTGGATTCAACTATTAGCCCGACCAGGCGATCGGGTCGATTACACCAACGACATGGATCTCAGCCAGCTCAGACTCTCTCTCTCTCCACCGGAGATGATAATCCCGGAGCGTCTTCCTTTTGCGCTGCCTCAATGAACCGACACCGCCTCTCGACCTTCGGGCTCCCCTCTGATCTCCCTACCTTTTGGCAGTCCGCTACGGACATTTCTCTCTCTTTTCGGACTCGGCAGCTGGACGTGCCGATCCTCGACGCGGGTAAGTGGGCAGGGTGGTGGAACGCTTACGTCGTGCTTAGCTTCTGTCTCCTCGAGGTGGTGTTCCATTGGGCAGAGCCGACCGACAAGGACGAGGAGGACGAGATTCCTAACGACGAGGTGGAGTTGCTGATCGTCCAAGCCTGGAGAACAAACACGGGGGAAAAATTGTTGGGGCTACTATTCGGGAAGGTCGGGGATGGCCATCTGGAGCCAATCACGAACGAGGTCCTGGTGTTCCTGGCCCAGCTCCTAGACAATCTGCCCTTGGATATCATTTCGCGTTGTGACAAGAGGGTCACGGTAGCGACGCTTACCCGTACATTGGTATCGCATTTACTGTGGTCCATGTGTACGGAGCTTGACGGTGACAATTGCTACTACCCCTCCTCAGGCCACTACGTGGCCATCGACGTGAGCGATCTCACCTTGTGGGATCCGATCATCCGAAGAGTGGAGGTGGAAGGGGTAGCTGACGACGCGGAGGAAGAGAGAGAAGGGGAACGCGAAGAGGAAGAAGACGAAGACTCGGAGGCAGAGACCGACAATCCCGATTACCACGAGTCGGAGGAGATTGGGTTGGGAAGGAGTGGATCGGGCAAATCAGACAGCCCCAGCGAGCAGAGCAAGGAAGAGGACGAGGTGGCAGCCCAGAGGAGACGAGAGAGGGCGGAAGGAAAGCGGTCAACAAAGGAATTGGACGGGCTAGCAACGCGGCTGACACAAGGTGATCCGGCGCGCAATCCAAAGCCGCCGCATGAGGAATCCGGAGGAAATGGCGTCACCACCGCGGACGGATTTAGAAGCAGACGCCACAAAAGAAGTCCAGCGCTGGCTTAATCCCCTTCACCTCCGCTGTCGGCCCGAATACCCTTACAAGGGTATTTTGGCACATTTTTGCACCTCACAGAAGGTGCGTTTTTGACGATATTTGAGAGAGTGTCTCATTTCAGAGTGACCGTAACCAATTCTCAGGGGTCGGGAATGGCACGCGCTTTTGGTCTGATTAGGGAGTGTGGGGGTGTGCACTTTGAGGGCACGCATTGACTTAGTCAAATGAATGATCAGTATAGGTGATGAACTCGCGAACTAGGAAAAAGTTAGGACCTTGGTTAACATTGCGCATGTGCTGACCTCGCATGCAATGATGGAGTTATGACCAACGTCAAGGTTAGTTGTCGGAATTCACGAACAAGGGTGAAATTCGCTGACTTGCCAAGCTACGAAACACCCGCGGACGCGTCCCCGGGATCGAGCTCGGAGGGCGGCCACATATATGGCCGCATCCGCGGCTGGCCTCGTCCTCGCCGCATACGTGAATTTACCGTATTTTCCCTAATTTATTTAATAAGCCAATATATATATATATATATATAGGCGGTTGTAGGGATTTTTAATCCCTGCAACCCCTTTTTTTTTTTTTTTTGAAAAATTTCATGTTAAAGAATTATAAAAAA